TTGAATCCCAAAACTCAAGGGAGAGAGAGAGACCTGGGACTGGACATATAGATCTAGGAATTAGCTGCACAGAGATGATAATTAAACTCATGAGAACTAATGAGATTACATAGAGAAATAAGAGAATAGGGCCTGGGGCAGAGCCCTAGGATATACCCACAGTTGAGGGTGGAGAGTGATATGAATAATAAGCCAGCAGAGGTGGCCAAAGGAGTGGTCATACAAGTAGGAGGTGTACCAGAAAAAAAAAGTGTCACGAAAACCCAGCAAAGAGAGTATTCAGAGAGAGAGTAGTCAACAATGTCAAAGGCAGGTTCAGAATAGTGTTTCTTACAATATGGTCTAGGGACCCTAAGATCCTTTCAGGAGGGCTTTGAAGTCAAATGTTTTCAAAGGGCATCATACCTATTTTCATAATAATACCAAGACATTTTAATTTTAAATGTGGTAAATATCAATAGATATAACTGACACGCAATAGTAATAATACTGATAGCTAACATTTACACAGCACTTAACTATATGCCAGGCACTATACTGAACTTTTTAATTATCTCATTTGATCCTTACAACAATCCTGGGTAGTAGGTGCTGTTATTATCCCAGTTGTATAGATCAAGAAACTGAGGCAAACAGAGGTTAGCCTACTTAACTACGGTCGTACAGCTAGTAAGTGTCTGAGCTAGTAAGCTCTAGACGGATGAGGAATGAGAAAAGACCCATTAGATCTGGTCATTCAGAGACAGTTGGTAACTCTGGAGATGGTAGTTGCAGTTGAGTAATGAGTTTTGCAAAAGCTTGAGGAATGAGAGGAAATAAAGTAGTATCAGCTTTTTCAAGGAGTTTGGCTGAAAAAGAGAGGAGAGATAGAGGATAACAGGCTGAGGGGGATGGTAGGTTATAGTAAAGGCTTTTTTTAAGGACTGAGAAAATTTGGAAGTATTTAAAAGACCTCTAAGGAAACAATCAGTAGATAGAGGCTGAAGGTAAAAAAGAGAACATGAAATCAGCAAGAGGATGATTGAAGTTACATTTAGCAGAAAGGAGGGGATGTGATCAAGGGTCGATGCAGGGGCTTTGACCTTTTCATCGTTGTCCGAGACTGGGGGAAGAGATTATGATCAATGTCTAGGGATGTTAAGATGAAGACAAAGGGAAGAAGACGGTTCATCAGTTTTCATATTTAAGATTCTTCATACATTTCTTTCAGTTAATTATTTATTTCATTTTTTAAAAAATTCAGTTTCTAATGCTCTCCCTTCCTCCAGTCTGAGAAGGCAAGCAATATAATACCCATTATATATGTAAGGTCATGGAAAACATTTGTTGTTCAGTCCTGTCTAATTCTTAATGACCCCGTGGACCATGCGTAGCACTAATACTGGCCATGGGGTTTTCTTGGCAGAAATTCTGGAGTAGCTTGCCATTTCCATCTCCAGTGGATTAAAGCAAACAGAGGTTAAGTGACTTGTTCAGGTTCACACAGCTAGGAAGTGTCTGGGCAGGATTTGAACTCAGATCTTCTTGACTCCAAGACTAGCACTCTGTCCACTAAGCCACCTAGCTGTCCCTGTAAAATATATTTTCATATTAACCATGTTGAAAAAAAAAAGGCAAGAAAAATAAAGTGAAACAAAAATTTGCTTCAATCTGCATTTAGAATTCATTAGTTCTTTCTCTAGAGATGGGTGGTATTGTCATTAAGAATCCTTTGGAATTGTCATAGATCATTGTATTTATCAGAGTAACTAAGTCTTTCACAGCTGGTCATCATTACAATATTGCTATTACTATGCACAGTATTGGCTTGGTTCTGCTCATTTAACTTGGCATCAGTTCACATATGTCTTCCCAAGTTTTTCTGAAACCATCCCCTTCATTGTTTCTTACAATACAATAGTATACCATCACAATCATACCCCACAGCTGTTTAGCTATTCCTCAATCGATGGGCATCCCCTCAATTTCCTGTTCTTTGCCACCACAAAAGAAGCTACTTTAGATATTTTTTAGGATACAGACCTAGTAGCAGTATTGCTGGGTCAAAGGGTATATACATGGTTTTATAGCCCTTTGGGCATAGTTCCAAATTGTTCTTTAGAATGGTTGGACCTATTCATAACTGTATCATCAGTGCATGAGTGTACCTACTTTCCCACATCCCCTCCAAAATTTGTACTTTTCCTTTTCATTCGCGTTAGCCAATCTGATAGGTATGAAGTAGTATTTCAGAGTTGTTTTAATCTGCATTTCTCTATTAGTGATGTAGAGCATTTTTTCATATGACTATTAATAGTATTGATTTCTTCTGAAAACTGCCTGTTCATGTCGTTTGATCATTTATCAATTGAGGGATGGCTCATATTTTTTATAAATTTGGATCAGTTCCCTGTATATTTGAGAAATAAGGGCTCTGTCAGAGAAACTTGCAAAAAAACTCCCCCCCTCCCCATGTCCTGCTTTCCTTCCAATTTTGGCAGCATTGGTTTTGTACAAAGTCTTTTTAATTTAATGTAATCAAAATTACCCATTTTACTTCCTATCATCCTCTGTCTCTCATTTGGTCATAAATTCATCCATTATCCATGAATCTGACAGGTAAATTTTTCCAGGCTCCCCTAATTTGCTTATATCAACTTTTATGTCTAAATCATGTACTTATTTTGAGCTTATCTTGATATATGGTGTGAGATATTGATCTATGCCTAGTTTCTGCCAGACTACTTTCCAGTTTTCCTAGCAGTTTTTGTTGAATAGGGAGTTCTTGCCCCAAAGCTTGGATCTCTCGGTTTGTCAAACACTTTATTACTGTGGTTATTAACTTTTATATATTGTGTACCGGGATCTATTCCACTGATTCACTACTTTATTTCTTAACCAATACCAGATTGTTTTCATGACTACTACTTTGTAATATAGTTTGAGATCTATTACGGTTAGGCTGCCTTCATTCACTTTTTAAAAAATTGATTTCCTTTGATGTTCTTGACCTTTTTTTATTCTTTCAGATTAACTTCGTTATTTTTTTCTAGTTGTCTAAAATAATTCTTTGGTAGTTTGATTGGTATGCCAGTGAATAAGTAAATTAATTTAGGAAGTATTGCCATTTTTATTATATTGGCTCAGCCTACCCATGAGCAATAAATCTTTCTTCAGTTATATATATCTGGCTTTCTTTTTGTGAAGTGTTTTTTAGGGGCAACTAGGTGGCACAGTGGATAGAGAGCACCGGCCCTGAAGTCAGGAGGACCTGAATTCAAATCCAGCCTCAGACCAAACACTTGACACTTACTAGCTGTGCAAGTCACTTAACCCCAATTGTCTAAAAAAAAATGTTTTTTAATTGTGTTCATATAGTTTCTGGATATGTCTTGGCAGGTAAACTCTCAAATATTTTGTATTGTCTGCAGTTATTTTAAATGGAATATTTCTTTCTATCTCTTTCTGCTGGGTTTTATTGGCAGTATATAGAAATGCTAATGATTTCTCTGGGTTCGTTTTATATCCTGCAACTTTGCTAAAGTTGTTAATTGTTTTTGCATAGTTTTTTAGTTGATTGTCTAGAGTTCTTTAAGTATACAATCATATTATATTCAAAGTGATTTGTTTAGTTTTCTCATTGCCTATTCTTATTCCTTCAAATTCTTTTTCTTGTTTTATTGCTATAGCTAGCATTTCTAGTACAATACTGAATAATAGTGGTAGTAATAAGCACCCTTGCTTCATCCCTGATCTTATTGAGAAGGCTTCAAGTTTATCTCTGTTACAAATAATGCTTGCTCTTAGTTTTAGATAGGTACTAGTTATCATTGTAAGAAAAGCTCTATTTAGTCCTATTCTTTCTAGTGTTTTTAATAGAAATAGTATTATATTTTCTCAAAAGCTTTTTCTGCATCTATTGATAAAAATATAATGATTTTGTAGTTTTTGTTATTGATATGCTCAGTTCCGCTGATAGTCTTCCTAATACTGGACCAGCCCTGCATTCCTGGTATAAATCCTACTTGGTCATAGTGTATGATCTTTATGATATAGTACTGTAATCTCCTTGTTAGTGTTTTATTTACAATTTTTGCATCAGTTTTCTTTGAGAAATTGGTCTGTAGTTTTCTTTTTCTGTTGTTTGCTATCAAAATCAAATTTCTGTTATAGGAGAAATTTTATAAGATGTCTTCTTTACCTTTTTTTCCCAAAATGGTTTATATAGTATTGGAATTAATTATTCTTTAAATGTTCAGTAGAATTCTCTTGTAAATCCATCTGGTCGTAAGATTTTTTTCTTAGGTAAATCATTAATGGTTTGTTTGATTTCGTTTTCTAAGAGAGGGTTATTTAAATATTCTCTTGTCTTTTCTGTTAATGGGAGCAATTTATATTTTTGTAGATATTCATCCATTTCACTTTGTCAATTTATTGGCATATAATTGGGCAAGATGGGTCCTAATAAGTGCTTTAATTTTATCTTTACAAGTGGTACATTTACACTTTTCTTTTTTGATACGGGCAATTTTGTTTTATTCTTTCTTTTTTCATAAAAATAAATAATGATTTTTAATTTAATTTTTATTTTATTGGTTTGTTAATAAAACTAGCTCCTATTTTATTAATTCAGTGGGGTTTTTTAGCTTTAAATTTTATTTAATCTTTCCTTTGATTTTCAGAATTTCTATTTTGGTGTTTAATTGGGAATTTAGTTGCATACCCAATTCATTGATCTCTTTCTTTCTTTTATTGATGATATTTAACATTTATAAATAAATATATTATATTAATTAATTATATTATGTATAATTTATAATACATTATATTAATTAATATATTATGTATAATTTATAATATATTATATTAATTAATATATTATAAATAAATGATATAATCATTTAGAGAGATAAATTTTACCCTAAGTACTACTTTAGCTGCATCCCACAAACTTTGATATGTTGTCTTATTTTTATCGTTATCTTAAATGAAATTATTGATTATTTCTCTGATTTATTCAGAGACCCCAGTCAAGTATGCCTGGCCAGAAACCCAAAGTGCTTCATTGAGGAGGCCGGGGATTGAAGGAGTAAGGAAAGCTGGCATCACATGAACATCAGTTTCATCTGAATGAGAAAGGCATGTGATTAGGGTCAAGGGGAAGAGATGAAGGTCGGTGGAACAGAAGCAAGTCAGTAAGTTTTTTTTTTAAAGGCAGTTGGGGTTAAGTGACTTGTCCAGGGTCACACAGCTAGTAAGTGTCAAGTGTTTGGCCTGAGTCCGGATTTGAACTCAGGTCCTCCTCACTTCAGGACCAGTGCTTTATCCACTGCGCCATCTAGCTGCCCCAGAGTCACTAAGATTAAGCATACTCCTGCTACTTTCTTTTATGTAAAGAAGGTAGAGGGTGTTGGTAAGGAAAAGACAAAGTATGACAAAATGGAATGGAGGAAAAACACATCATTAACAGTTGTGACCATGAAGGTGAATAGGATGAACTCATCTGTAAAACAGAAAAGGATACTAAAGAGATTAGAAACCAGTATATTTTTATAAGATACTTGAAACAAAGATTCATACAGTCATGGGGCTAAGGCAGAATTTATTATGCTTCACCAAAGCTTTAAAAAAAAAAGGATGGCAATTATGATTTCAGACAAAACAGCAGATTAATGGGGTAACTGTTATTCTTAAAAGGTACTATGGGGCAGCTAGGTGGCGCAGTGGATAGAGCTCCAGCCTTGGAGTCAGGAGGACCTGAGTTTAAATCTGGTCTCAGACACATGACACTTACTAGCTGTGTGACTCTGGGCAAGTCACTTAACCCACATTGCCTCACCAAAAAAAAAAAAGGTATTATAGACAGTGAATTATTATCAGTAATGAAATAGCATCTAAATACTTGAAAAGTATTTCAATTTAAAGGGAGAAACAGATGCTAAAACATCATAGTTGGAGACTTCGTGTGCCTCTTTCAGACTTAGACAAATTTAACAAAAAACAAATAAGAAAGATTTAGAAGATTTAGAAGATATAGTAAATTATTTCAGGTGTTGTGGTACCTTTGCAAAAACTGATTATGCATTAGCCCATTCGTTCTTAAAGTATAATTTAGTAACACCTTAGATTCCCTAAGACCCACAGAAAGTCAAAACTATTTTCAAAATAATATCAAATTTTGATTTCTAATACTGTAAAAATTGATAGATATACCCACATAAGCAAAAGCTCTTTGGAGGGATCTGCAGTAATTTTTAAGATTTATAAAGAGGTTCTAAAACCAAAAGGTTTGAGAACCATTGTATGGATTGGGCTATAAAAGTTTCTAAGAGAAAATCCTTTACTGTCAACCACGATGAAATAAAAATTATATTCAATAAGGGATCTTTTAAGGAAGGATTAAAAATTAATTGGAGACTAACTTAATCCCAAAGGATTCATGAGTAACAGGATAAATCAGAGAAGTAATAAAATCAAAGAAAAGGACAATGAGACAGTATAACAAAACTTTTGGGATAGAGCCCAAATAGTCCTTCAGGGAAATTTTATATTGCAAAACAAAAAAAGGAGAAAGAACAGCTCAGTCAATAGGGTATGATACTAAAAAGAAAAGACAGAAAACCAGCCAAATAAAACCCAATTAAACACCAGAATAGAGATTCTAAAATCAAAGAGATTTAACAAAATTAAAAACAAATAAATTTTAAATTGACGAAATAAGAAGCTGACTTATTTTTTTAATTATATATTTTCTATAAATTATTAGCTAGTCAGTTTTCATTAGCTAACCTTTTTTTTCTCATTAAGAGCAGTGAAAATCAAATAGCCAGTATGAAAGATGAATAAAGAGAAATCACAGCAAATAAAAGAGAGAAGGAAATTATTAGAAACTACTTTGCCCAGTTATATGCTAACAGATTTGACAATTTAAAGAGACTATAAAATATTAAATACTCAAATTAGCAGAACAAGGAATAAAGAATTTAAATAACTCAAACTTAGAAAAATTAAAATTGAACAAGTGATAAATTCACTCCCCAAGGGGGAAAAAACCAAGACTACATGGATTTATAAGAGAATTTTATTAAACATTTAAAGAATTTCTTCTAATATGATAACTTGGATGAAATAGGAAAAGGAAGATTGTACTAAATTCCTTCTATGAGATATATGTGGCCTTTGTACCTGAACCAGGGAAAGAAAAATTATGGAAAGAAATTATGAAGCAGTATGTGCTAATAAACATAGATGTGAAACTTTTTAAATGAAATATTAGCATAGAGGCTATAGAAAACATAAAAAAGGATGGTACATTATGACTAGGTAGTATTTCTAGAAAGCAAGAGTGCAATATTAGGAAAACTATAAGCATAATAGATCATCTTAATAAAACAATCAAAATCATATGATTATGTCAATTGATGCAAAAAAAATTTAATATATTCAACATTTATCTCAAGTATGGGACTAAGCAGGTCTTTTCTGAATTTGACAAATAGTAGCTAGCTAAGATTGAGTTTGTGTAGTGTAGATAACTAGAGATCTTTCCAGTAAGATCAGGAGTAAAGCAAATATGTCCATTTACATTTATTTAATATAGGCCCACACCACCTGCAGCCCACATACTGCTTGAGGCACGCCAAAGGATTCTGGGTGGCTGGCGAAAAATGTAGAGGAAAATATCCGCTGTGCATAGAGGAAATCCTTTGGCGTGCTGCAAGCAGGCCACAGGTTGTACGGGCCTGATTTAATATATTCTTAGCAAATCTAGCTATAGCAATAAGATTAAAAAAAAGAAAATGAGGGAATAAACATTATAGGACAATAGGAGAAACAAGAAGGGAAAAGAAATTCACTTTTCATAGGGTAATATAATGGTTTGCAAACATAGGTTCTCAAAGTGGGTGATAATGTCTCCCGGGAGGTGCTGGAAGGATGGGGGGGCGGTGCAGTAATAGTCTCAGGTTCAATTGGGAGGCTTTTAATAAAAACAAAGGTTAACCTAACCTAACCCCAGGGGGGCATTGAATAATTTTTCTTTTTTTAAAGGGGGCAGTAGGCCAAATAAGTTTGGAAACCTTTGGTTTACATGGAAAACCAGAGAGTCAATTAAAAATTAATTAAAACAACTTCAGCAAAGTAGCAAGATATTTTTTTTTAAACATCCTGCATAGATTTTCAGTCATTCTGTATGTCATTAACAAAACTCGACAATGAGAGATGTTGAGAAATTCTATTCAAAATGACTACAGAATGTGTAATATTTAGCAGTCTACCAATGCACACAGGAATTGTGTGAATGCAACTTTAAAACTTTACAAAATGTCACAATATAAATCTGCAAGTCACAGAAAATGAGGCAATAAATTTCCAGACATGATTAGTTTATTAGCAAAGCTTAGAATTGCCAATAAATAGGATCCAAGGCTCCTCAGTAACCAAGGACCCTGCCTGATAGTCAAGGGAGTTCTTTTATAGTAAGGTGATACAATCTGTTTTTAGTAATGTGGGCATTATCAGGTTATGATTGACTAGAACCAGAAAATAGGGGATTTTCACAGCCTAGAGCATGTGCATTTTACACAACTTGGGGATTTTTACACAGTTTGGAATATCTGGTATCAGTACTTCATAAGATACATTAGACCTTTATCATAAGTAAGTTTCTCTAAAAAGTGGGTAGTGGATGACTTACAAAAGTAAAATAGGGAACTAAAATTGCAAGCCTAAAGACTTTAAAGTCACATAATGAGGGAGAATAGTAACTATAATTAAACTTGATTAAGTGTTAATAAAAAAGAGAATAGCATATTAAATTTTAATGTCGTGAGAAATATAGACATGTAAGTGGAGAGAGAATTTTGATAAAATACATCTATTCCTATTAAAAACACCAGAGAGCACAGGAATAAATGGCACTTACCTTAAGATAGTAAGTAATATTTATCTAAAGTCATCAACAAGCATTGTCTATAATGGGGATAAGCTAGACATCTTCTCAGTACAATCAGGGGTGAAGCAAGGATGCCCATTATCACCACTGTTATTCAGTATTGTACTAGAAATGCTAGCTATAGCAGTAAGAGAAGAAAAAAAATGGAAGGAAGTAGAATAACAATGAGGAAATAAAACTTTCACTCATTGTAGATAATATCATGGTATACTTAAAGAATCAACTAAAAAACTAGTTGAAATAATTAACGACTTAATAAAGTTATAGAGTACAAAATAAAACCACATAAATCATCAGCATTTCTATATATTACCAACAAAGTCCAGTAGCAAGAGATAGAAAGAGAAATTCAATTTAAAATAACTATAGATAATATGAAATAACTTGGGAGTCTACCAGCTAAGACAAATCCAGGAACTATATGAGCACAATTACGAAACACTTTCTACACAAATAAAGTCAGCTCTAAACAGCTGGGAAAATATCAATTACTCATAGGTAAGCTGAACTCATGTAATAAAAATGACAATTCTGCCTAAATTAACCTATTTATCTGTCAGATCTATGGATAAGGGAAGAATTTAGGACCAAACAATAGAGAGACAGCATTACAAAATATGAAATAGATAATTTTGATAATATAAAATTTTAAAGTTTTTGCCCAAAATAAGCAATGCAACCAAAAGGAGAAGGAAAGCAGAAAACTGGGGAAAGTATATTGCAGCAGGTATCTCTAGTAAAGGCCTCATTTCCCAAATATATAGAAAACTGAGTCAAATTTATAAGAATACAAGTCAAGTCATTCTGCAGTTGATAAATGATCAAAGGCTATAAACAGGCAGTTTTCAGACAAAGAAATCAAAACTACCTATGATCATATGACAGAATGCCCTAAATCAGTATTGATTAAAGAAATGCAAATTAAAACAACTCTGAGGTACTACCTGATACCTATCAGATTGGCTAATATGACAAAAAGGGAAAATGATAAATGATGGAAGGGATGTGGAAAAAGTGGGACACTAATGCAGTATTGGTGAAGTTGTGAACTGAACCAGCCATTCTGAAGAGCAATTTGGAACTATGTGCAAAGGGCTATAAAACTGCAGACCTTTTGATCCAGCAATACTACTACTGGGTCTATATCCCAAAGAGGTCCAGAAAAAAAAAAAGGACCTACTTGTAAAAAAATATTTATAGCAGCTCTTTTTGTGGTGGCTAAGAATTGGAAATCTAGGGGATGCCCCTAGATAGCAATTCCCCAATTGCTAAACAAGCGGTAGTACATGATTGTGATGGAATATTATTGTGCTATAAGAAATGACAAGCAGGGTGATTTTAGAAAAACCTGAAAAGACTTACATGAACTGATGCAAAGTAAAGTGAGCAGAACCAGGAAAATATTGTTCACAATAACAGCAATATTGTATCATGAAGAACTGTGAATAACATAGCTAGTCTCAGCAATACAGTGATCAAAGACAATCCCAAAAGACTCACAATGATACGTAGTATCTGCCTTCAGAGGAAGAACTGATATTGTCTGAATACAAACTGCAGCAAACTAGTTTTCTTTCTTCCTTCCTTCCTTCCTTTCTTTTGTGGTTGTTCAAGTCTTCCTGTACAAAATGAATAATGTGGAAATGTTTTGCATAATTGCACATATTTAACCTATGACAGATTCCTTACGATCTCAGAGGTGGGGAGGGAGAGAGGAAAGGAGGGATAGAATTTGGAACTCAAAACTTTTTTATGCTAAAAATTGTTTTAGCATGTAATTGGAAAAAATAAAATATTATTTAAAAAAATGATACATTTTTGGACATTGTTAATAAGGGAGATTTGCTTTGCTTAACTATGTCTTTGTTATGTAGGTTTTATTCCTATTTTGTTCAATTGGGGAGTGAGTGGAAGGGGAGAAAATAAATATGTAAATTTAAAAATAACAATTATATTAAAAATAAAGGTTAAGCAGTTGAACCTCTCTGAGCCTCAGTGGCCTCATTTGTAAAGTGAAGGATTAGACTAAATGATCTCTAAGGTCCCTTTTAGCTTCATGATCTTGGTAAGCTGCTTATCTCTATTCTCTTAGATATGGGTAAACCTCAACTGACTGCATCTGTGGCCTTTGTTTCAGGTTTTGATTCAGCTCCATTATGTCTTCCCCAAAAATTGCTTCACTGTCTTGGGGTCAAATGAAGGTACAAGATTGTAGCACAGTCTATAAGGACTGCAAAGTGTGGCCAGGGGGTAGTCGGTCCTGGGACTGGAGAGAAACAGGAACTGAGGTAATCATTTGATCTTTGGTTTCTATTACTCCCTAATTAACCATACCTTTAATATCTTGCGCCCTAGGAGCACCTCAACTTGTTCCTCATCCATCTGTTCATTTATTCACTCCATATTTATTCAGTACCTTACTTTGTAATAAATATAATCACATCATATTTCATGACTGCAACTAGCAACAACAACAATAACTAGCATTTATGTAAAATCCAGTGCTTTTTTCCTGACCACAAATATGATTGTACTCCCCATGTGAGTGAACAAGGCAAGTAGAGAAATAAGTTTTATCTTTTTAGTTGTCATTGTCATATGAGCTGAGTGGAGAAATTTGATGTGATTAAAAAGAAGTGGAGACTGCTTGTAAAAAGGTTCCAGCACTTTACCTTAGAAATAGCTCCAGTTCTTTAGTAAGTGCTAATAGCATCGAATTTTTTGACGGGGGAGCATTGGGCCAGTATTGGCAGTTTTTTAGTTAAGAGGTCTATCCAGATTTATGGAAATTTCTTTCCTCTCGTTCTTTTGACAAACATTTATCGAGTACCTGCTGTGGGAAGAGCTTGTACTTGATGCTAGAGAAGCTGTAAAGTTTACATAATACAGGTCTCCTGACCTCCTGTAGCTTGTAGTCGAGTAGGGAGATAAAAGACACAATATTACATTGTAAGTATTCATTAGACAGGTATTAAAAAAAAGAGCCTTTTGAGATCCAAGAAAGAAGGTGGTGACCTGGTTTCTGGGGGTGTATTGTGATCAGGGAAGGTTTCATGAAAGAGGTGGCATTGGAGATGGACTTTAAAGTAGGAAAGGTCAGTACAGGCATAGGAGCAGCATGAATAAAGGCACTGAGGGGTGAAAGGAGAGAAGGGGCAGGTTTAGAGAATGCCTGAGAAGGGCAGTGAGGGGAGGGGATGGAAAGGAGTGTTCTTGCTGCAGAGAGAGATGGGCTTTTGGTGCCCTTCATTAGGGTTCTGAATGTAATTTCCCTTAGAAACAACACCCCAATCAGGTAACTGGGTAGTCAGAGAGACTATTTTTGCCTCCCCATCAATCAATCGATTAGTCAGTATTTGTTAAACACTTGCTGTGTGCCAGGCACAGTGCTAAGCTCTGGAGATACAAAAAGAGGCAAAAGATAGTCCCTGCCCTCAAGAAGCTCACAATCTAATGAGAGCCTCAAAACCTGGTCTCACAAATAGGTGAATTATTGCTCTATCTTATCCCATCCGGAGAGACCTTATTTTGGTGTTCATGCCAGAGCTCTTGCATCAATTCCTAGAAATCTGGATTTTCCTCTGAAATGTAACTGAAACTTGGGTTTGATCCTTTTCTGTAGTCTGTCTGTCTGTCTGTCTGTCTGTCTGTCTGTCTCTCTCTCTCTCTCTCTCACACACACACACACACACACACACACACACACACACACACACACACACACAATTAACATCTACTGATGATCCTTTAAATACCTAGGCCTTCAAATTCATTTGTCTTCAACCCCCAAGACCTCCATCTTCAGTCTGCTTCAGTGACACATAGGGTGGTACCACCTCAGACCTCAACCTCATCTGAAGTTGTTCCACCTTCAAGACCCAGTATTCTGAAATTCCATTCTCTGGTCATTCTCCTGACCTCCTATAGCTTCACTCCTGAACCTGCTCTCTACTCTCATTGTGATATCCAGTGTCCCAATCAATCCCTCACTGTTCTCACAGTCCATTAGTCCAGTTCTGGCTTTTAATCAGACTGAATTGTTAGACAGCTCATGATCTCATCCTGCCCTCTCCTGTCTGAATCAGTCATGCCTGGAACACATTCCCTTCAAATCCTTCCTTTCCTTCAAGGCCGTACTCTGCTGCCACCACCTCCACGAACCTTTTCTTGATCCTACAGCCAAAAATGACCTCTCCCTTCCCGTGTTTTCTTGGATCTCTTCTTTGTCTCTGTCTACCTGATACTTATTTGTATACATGCTGTTTCACCTGTAGTAAACTGTAAGGTTTTTGAGGGCAGGGGCTATGTCATTTTCCATCTTTATATTCCCAGCATTCCTGTAGGAGTTTAATAAATGTTGTTGCATTATTTTTACTCTATTTCCCTATAACTTCTGAGTAAAAGGATGGCCAAGAGAAGATCCTCATCTCTGTCTTCCTTCTGTATGGGTAGTGTGTAGTGTTTTCCCATCATCATATGACTTTTGTTTCTCCTTGCATTGATCTTTCCCCAAATTTTCTCCAAAATGCTGTTTCCCTCTGGTTCTCAGAGTTCTTCACATGAGTCTATTTCCTTAATCTAAAAACAATGCTGCTCCACTGTCCCTGTTGTCTATTCTATCTCTTCTGAATAAGACATACCCTTTCAGTTATTTTCCAGTCACAGATCCCATCCTACCAAGTCTCAGGTTGTTTTGTTTTGGTTTTTACCCTGTATTTATTAAGCTGAATAATTGCTGCAGAATCCTACAACTGTTTCTACTTAGTTTTCTAAGCCAGTTCTTTTCTTCAGGAATAGTATAATGGGGGAGATATTGTGAAACTATATTGTTTTCTTCATGGATCAGGGGAAGAGAGAATTACTGATGAAAAACAGTAGGGAAAATGAAATGGAAAACTAATGTCCCTGTAGCTCTCAGTAAGGTGGGAAAATGGGACAACTAGTCTGGGACTGAGAAGTGTCTCTCAGTGTTTATACCAGTTTAGGTCCCTTACATCCCAAAGCGCAGTGAGCCACTGCTTACAACTAGGACTAGTCCCTGTTCCTGCTGCCCACAAGAGGAGGGGCAGAAAAGAACGAGTTCCAGAATCTTGTTCCTAAATTCATTTTTACCATATAAGAGACTGGATGTTCAGAAATTGTGTGATCCTGTAACTATTCTGCTATCCAGTAATCCAGAAATAGTAGAATCTGGGTTAAAAGAATCCTAAGAGGTCATCTCTTCTAACCTCCTGATACATGAATCTCCTTCTTAGTATTTCCAACAAAAATTCATCCTGCCTCTGCTTCCTTATAATGATAGGGAATGCCCTCTTCCTCAGGACATTCCATCTCCCACCAAAGCAGCCGCTTCCACTGTCGGCCAGTTCTGATGGCTCACTAAATTTCAGAGTTGGAAGGGACTTCATTGGAAGACCCACTGTAACCCTAAATTCTTCCTTATATTGAATTGAAATCTGCTTCCCTGTTGGAGGCTGTCTTCAGTCGTCCTGATCTTTATCTTGCCACTGGATCCAGATGGCTCTGGAGGAGAAAGTGAGACTGGTGACTTTGCACAGCCTTTCCTCACTTAAATCCAATTCACTTGCAAGTCATGGCATCACCTTCCAGATGTCATGGTCTTCTTCAAGAACGAAGGACAAAAAACAACAACAAGCTTCCATATTATTTCCTTTCATTGGTCCTAGACCTGTCCCTTGGGGCTGCACAGAATGAGTTTAATCCCTCCTCTCATGATAGCCCTTCAGATGCTTGAAGAGATTGATCAGGTCCCCACTTAGTCTTCTTTTCTACAGAAGAGGAAAGGAAAAAAGACAACACCTTTGAAACTGAGAAATGAAATTGCTTCTTTGTTCTGAGACAGATTGTCTCTTGCAGGCAAGCAAGTCCTCTTCAGCATTGCAATTAGTTCTAATTATAGTCATATATCCCCTGCCTTCTGTACCTTTAAATCTTTTTTTCTAACGTGATTTTTTCATTCAGATACATACTAATGGCTTGGGTTTTTTTGTTTATAGAACAGATGAGAGTAAGTGACTCTGTGAACCCAGCGGGGGAGAGAGAGAGATCAATTGATTTTGTCTAAGTGTGCATAGTAGTATAGGCTTTCACACTGTCATCAGGGACTTCAGAAACTGCAGGACAACATGATTTTGAAAAGAACCTGAAAAACCCCAAACTCCTGGGGAGCCTAAGCATCCATTAGGGCTCCTGAAGCCCCTTTACTGAGGATATACCCTCCTGAGGACTTGAGCCATCCAGCAAACTTGAAACCTTTCATCAAAAGCAAAAGCTGCAGGCCTTTTAAATAAGCAAAGAACAGAATCATAAAAAGCCTTTGGTCCCATCTAGGCCACTGATGAGGTGACTGACATACAGTCTCCCTGCTCTATTTGTAGCTTTTAAGGGTTCTAATCCTACTTTTCCCTGGACCTCAGCCTTCCTGAACCCTGGCCTTCTGACCTGATCTCTCAGATCTGACCCACATGGCCTATACTTCATCACCTCTTGTTCTTCACCTACCAATTAAGTATCTCTCCATCCTAGCAAAAAAAGAACATGACACTGGGACCAGTGTTTTACTTATGAACAGGACAGCTTCTTATCTGTTCAGAGTCATAGAATCCTAGAATATTAAAAGTAGAAGGGACATTATACATAATATCAGCAAACCGCTTCATTTTACATAAGAGGAAACTGAGGCCTAAGGAGGTAAAGTATAAGCCAAAGGGAATGTCAGAGTCCCAAAACTCTAATCCAGGTATAGCCAAGAGAACATAAGAGTATTCAAACAATCAACAAGCATTAATTAAATATTTTTATTAATTAAAATTTTGAATTAATCTATTAAATATCTACTCAGTGCCCATTCTGTGCTTGGCACTGGGGATATGAAGAAAAAAATTCAAAAGATGCTATTAAAGAGGAAGTTTTTGCCAACCTTATGAGACAGTATCATTGCTGCCCAAAGCCTGAATTATCTTCACTCCAGAGGTTAGGCAGCTTATAGTATGCCTAAGCATACAAGATGTCTCCAGGAATACATGAAATGCAGAGCAACACAGACACATAGGAAAAACAATCCAGAAACAACAGAGCCATACTCTGCCCTCTCCTCTTCTCTCCTCTCCTGTCCTTTTCTCTTCTCTCTCCATCAGCCAAACCCTCTACTTCTACCTGCTTTTGCCTCAGAAATGAAAAAATGTTAATGCAGTCTTCAAGTCTCCTCCCCACAGCTTCTAATCAATATCCATCATTATAGTGACCAAATTTTAAATACTCCCATGAC